TCTTAAGAAATTTTATTAGTTTTTTTTTTTTTTTATTTTAAAAGGTATTGTACAAAAGGTTAAAGTATGGATTTAGTAATTATTGCTACCTTTGACTCAAATAATGGCTTCAATTCAATGTGGCATTGAATAGAACAATGTTCAAATTTTCTTATTGGGAACCCCCCCCCCATTCTTTTTGGCAGTCATCCCAAAGCTTTTGGAAATTGCATGATTTTCATTCAAGGACTTGTTTTTTCAGTTCCCACCTCAGTGGTTCGATTATAATTAAATAAAGACTTTGAAAAGTTGAACATGTTTGACAAGGAGCACTGTCATGCTGAAAAATTTCATCTTCATAGTCTGGCATAAGATTAGAATATAGTAAACTAATATAGATTTCAGTGTTTAGGTTTCTATCAACTTTTACCAATGTTCTACCACCACTTTTGATACAACTATGCATCTACCACCAAATTTAATATCTTTGAGGTGTATCTTGTGTTTTCTTTCTCCCACTTGTTTTCTTACATATTCTGTTGCATTAGAATGATTATTGTCTCAGATCTTCATTGGCCCAATAGTTTTGCATGGCATTTTATCAGTTTCAAACAGCTTGAAATGATTTATCTTATGTTACATGGCACCTATGAAAATGCAACAACTCATTTTCCAATCCTCAAGGTCCACAGACTACTGATAAAAGCATACTGTGAAACACTAACTTAATAAAATAAATGTGTATAATTATTTTATGTAGGTGGCCCAAAACCTTTGCATGTCAATGTACACGCAACCCATAGGTATTTTGTTTGACAAGGAAAGTGACTACTTTCACTGCTACACTTTTGGTGATTGTCATATGATAGATATCTCCAATTTTTCATCACGGAAATCTGACATCTGAGTAAAGAAAAAAAAAAAAAAACCTATGAAACGTATAAAATTTAATTTTACAGTAAATATTTTCTGCTCATTGAAAACAGAAAGAATGGAAACAAAAAAAGCAATAGAATTATTATTTATAGATTTTAAGCAAAATAAGAGATATTTACCCCCAAAAAAAAAAAAAAAAAAAAAAAAAAAATTCATATTGTCACCATATAGCCTTTTTTTTCAGGTTGTAAAAACATCTTGATTTAAAAATCTTCCAGAATCCATCTAATTATTGGATTTTAATAAAAAAAAAAAAAGATAACACTTAATTTGCTCATTTTCAATTGTAGATAGAGGTGGATTACACTGAAAGAGAAGTCCTTGAGAAATAAATACTGAAAAATGAAAAACTGGAATGCAGAAGAAAAGTAGATAAATATAACCCTGTTTGGATCTTTGCTCAAGACTTGAATAATGATCAGACTAAATGGAAATAATAAACAAACATAGTGCTGATAATTTGAATGAAATAACCTTGCTACATCAACCTTCAATAGCTATCACCAAATGAAAAAACAAAACGCTACACCAGGTTTTTAAGAAAAATTTACAAAAAGAGAACCAGGTAATTATTTGATTTAAATGAAATTTTCAGCACACATTCATTAATGAATGAATTGTATACCAAATAGGTCATTTTATTTAAATACTTTGTGGAAATACTTTTGTTAGGGAAGCAATATCTCTAAAAAATTTAAAATTGGGAGTGATAATTTTTTTTTTTTTTTAGAAGGAAAAATCCTTGATTTTATTTCAGTAAAAAAAAAAAAAAAAAAAAAAAAAAAAATTATTATACATTATACAATATGAAATCAAAATATCTTGAAACATTACAAAAATGTTTCTTTTTTGTTTGTGGAAAGTTGGTGCTTGCATAAAACATAAATCTACCATGAATATTTATTTTTGAGATATTTTTTTTAAAACTCATTTATTTTAAATCTTAGGTACCGACATTTATACAGAAATAGTGGAGGTACCTAAATTGGCCACAGGTTCGTTATCCTCTCGGAAAAATCTGGGAAAATTGACAGGTAATTCATCATCAAAATTCAAAATTATTGATAAATCCCAAATATTAGATCTAATCTATATCTTTAATTTTTAAAAATCAGAGCATCGTGACATTTCAACACTTATTTTCTGATGATATCGTGTATGGATGTAAGCCTTAAAAAAATCAGCATGTTTTTACACACACACGAAAATCATATGGGATGGGAGTAGAGTCGACTTTACCATTTGTGATTAGTAAATAAATAATAGTTTGTGTTTTTTTTGTTTTTTACTTAATAACAATATCACCTAACAGGTACAAATTAATACAGAATTTTAAGAGATTTAAAACTGTAAAAATTATTAATTAACAAAAAAAATAATAATTCTTGTAAAAATTCATTAGTCATCAAAAAAAAAATAATATAGTGCCCATAACATAACTTATTCATAAAAAAAGCCATGAAGAGTTTTTTAATGTCTTAAATATTTTTAGATTTTATTTTTGCGGTCTTAAGAAAAAAGAAAGATTTAAAAATTCTCCAAGGAGCGGTACAAAAATTAATTTCTAAAAATTTCATAAGTGTGTGTGTGTGTGTGAGAGATAAAAAGAGAGAGAGAGAGAGAGAAAGGGGGAACAGATGTGAAAGAAAAAAAAAATCTATAAAATAATTTCGTTCATTTGTGAATAAGTCCCGAAACTTTCATTAAAATCCGACACTTATTTGATTTTTAATTTCCAAATCAATATTCTAAAGAATTAAAAAAATATAATATAAAAAATCCTTTGGTCTTCCTTTTCACTTACGCTTCTTAATAATAGATTTTTTACGATAAACTTATTAAGTTCGAGACATTTTATGATTTTTTCATCATGGTATGTTCAGTTTTTTAGCGAATCTGTGGAGGTACCGCTACAATACATGAAACTGAAAGTTAGAAAAATTGTAAGAATTTTTCAACGTGACATTCATTAAAATTTTCGTTGAAGGTAAGTCAAATCGGGTAAAAAAAAAAAAAAAAAATTGATAAAAATGACGGTGAACAAAGCTATTCTCAGTCTGACTGCCTACCAAAAGAGCAAACCATTTTTTTGTTTACTAAGTAAAAAAAAAAAAAATGATGCTTTTTCAGAATTTATGAATTTTTTTTATTGAATATTTACTGGATTAGCTATTTTTCTTTTCCATAAATTATTTTATTTTAAAACTGAAAAAAAGGGGGTCTGGTATTGAAAAAGATACCTCGAATAGTAGGTTTCCTGTCTGTATGTGTGCCGGGTTTTGATTTAAAAATTACGTGTATTGTGAGGATACATACTGTTCGTTTTAAATTTTTGAAGAAAATTGTGAAAAACTGGCCTTGTGAGGAGGTTGGTAAAGAAGACTAAAAAGAATAAAGAAATACTAAAGAAAGAGATGCCGTCGTCAAAAGCGAGTCAAAAATGAGAAAGAACACTGAAGTGAAACTTTTTTTTTTCTTTTTTAAATAAATATCTTGACAGAATAAAGAACAAAAAATAAAAGCATGACGGGTCTTAACAAAATAACTATTCAAATGCATTTGGAAAAAAAACTGTGGAGGTTCCCCATTCAAACTAGATAACGTATGGTCAGTAAAAGTACACATTTCAATTTAAAACCTTATCAAAATATAAGCAACTGAATACTTGTTAAAACAATGTTACAATGAAATTTCAAATTATGTTATCAAAGTTACTCGACATTATGAGTAACTTTGAAAACGAAAAAAATATGTAGTAGTAGGTAGCCTAAAGGTCCAATCGAAAGTCATTACGTACGAAACGGTTGCAGGTAGTGCCTAGGCAGGGTGTTATAGCTATTGAAACGAAAAGTGAGGCTAAAAGTAAGCGAAAGTTCAGAAACCAAAAAATACCTATCGTAAGAATAAATTTCTAAATAAATGCGACTTTTCGGTAGGTGAGAAAGTAGCAATGAAGAAATGATTGGTTCATCTAACGTTAGGATAGTGAGGAAGACTGAAGACACTTTTTTCCTCATCCGCAATTTTAGGCCTTGTGCCAAATTGTCATATATTTGTTTTACGAGGATGATGCTGGAAAATTCTCAGCCCGACCAAGAGAAAATTAAAAATTGTATTTTGAGAAAGTGGAGGAGGGAGAAGTTTTCCCTTTTTGTACATTTTTTTTTTTTACACAACTACCCTGTGAAAAGTTAGTGGATTTTGTTTCTTAAGTAACTTAAACACTATTGGTTGTCAGGGACTCGTGTACTACTGCTTTTGTGCAAGTAAAATTAATAAACCTAAAAACAAGAAAAAACATTGGCTCTCCAAGACTTTTCAAACTAACAAAATCTAAAAAGGGAAAATACGAGTAAAAAGTTAACAAATCGAAGCCTGTCTTACTTTCGTATAATAAATTACATATCAACAAAAATGGGAGTACCAAAGATTTTGAAAAACGAATATAAATTAGTGTGTCTGTGTAGTATATGAATTTAATTAATCGTGCGACTTTTTCAGAAAAAATAAATCAGTAGTTTTTTTTTTTTACACTTTACAATTATAAAAAATGTGTTTAGTTTTTACTACAAGTACAGTTAATACAAAGAATGCATATGGCATACCAAGATGATCGCCTTTTAAAGAATACTAATACACAGGAGTTGATTAAAAATTTTTCAACACATTTTGTTTTACCAAAAAGGAACAAAAGTTCTCACTTAGAATTTATTTAAAGTAAACAAAGCATTAAAAAATTAACACTAAGAAACACTAGGGTAACGGATCACAATTAGCAAGTAAAAAATTAAACATTCTAAAAAATGTTTTTAAATATTTTATGAAAAAATATATTTAAATACTTTTTAATTTTAGTAATTTGAAATTTTAATTTAATTATTTTATACAATAATTTACTACTTTGATTGAAAACAAAAACAATCCAAGTACGTCCAGCATTAATAGAAGACACGTGTTCTTAAATGCAAACTTTTTATAAGCTTAAAACTGAAAGAACCGTTTAAAGAAAAATATCAGAAAATAAAAGTAATATATGGAGAGTATTTTATAAAAACACAAAAATATATATTTATTTATTTACTTACCCAAATGTACCTTGTCCGATTTTGGCAAGTTTCTCAAATTTACTAACATCATCGCAATAAGGATATTCCAAATCGTCATATTTGTTGTTGTTCATAGCTGTAGAAGTGGAAGAAGTCGCCAGGGTGATTTTTTTTACGGGATATTAACCCGTAGAATTAAAATATAAATAAAAATAAATATTTTAAACTTAACAAAAAAATAAAAATGAAAGTTTTTACCTAGCGTTTACAAAGCTTTACTAAGGAAATGGTACACAACGGAAGTACATCGGCACACAATGTTATGGATAAATCGAAAAATCAAAATCAATATGCTTTTATAAAATTGAACAACTTTTATGCAGTTATGAAAACATAATTTATTTTTTATTAAATGAATATTAAAAAAATAAATTCAAACATAAAATTATAACTGTCCCGCACTGAACCGGAACCGATGTTCTTCAATAACAAAAGCGTGCACGTGGCGTTAAAAGTTGCTGTTAGTGTTTGTTTGTTTGTTTATTTATTTATTTTGTATTCAGTTGACCTTCGCCTTTTGGTGATGGTTGCACAGCAAATTTCGGAATAAATGCAATGTTATAAAAATGCAGTTACGTGACTAGTTGAATTGGGATAGTGTAAGACTTTAGGGTTTTCACCACTTTACTGAAGAAAGTGCACTGTACAACTCGTACACTGTAAGACAAAAAATGTCTTCCATCCCTCTGTTATCAGATTTCGAATTACTTGGATTTTTTTTAAAGGCTAATTTTGAATTTTACTTCTTGTAACCTTTGTGATTACTTAACAAAATAAACTGGGGAAAACAATAAAACAGCCGATTCGAAATTTAATACCACCGAGATTTCAAATTTAGCCTAAACGACCATCGACTAAAAACCCGACTTGCTAGTACTAAAAAATAAGTTAAGCGTATTAATACACAGGTGAAAAAGGAAATGTTTTAAAAATCCATAATGCCTATGAAACTTTTGTAATACTTTTCAACTAAAACATTGACCAACAAATTAATTGACTTAATAATTCTGCTATTATCAACAAATTTGTAGTTAATTAATCTTCTGCGTTTTAAATTAGAACTATTTTTTCGTGTGTTTTTTATTTAAATAAGCACAGCTGTGTCTTCAGTTTTTTTTTTAACTGCAATAATGGCTACCACAATACTAAAAGCGGTTTGTTTCAAAACGTTATATGAAACACGCTAAAAATGTTTAATTCCTGGATTTAACCTGGACATTTTGGTTCACTATGTGACACTTTTGAATACTACCACCACCAACAGGTATGTAAATTAACACTTACACAATCATTTTACTTTTTTTTTTCCATTTTAAATTTTGGCTATTGTGATTATAAGCGATATGTGATCAGTATTTAATTAATAATAATAATAATTTAAATAAAATGTCTGCTTTGAAAGTTCTCACGATACCAATCAAAATTTAAAACAAGACGTTTGCTATTTTTGTTAAGTACTAAGAAAATTTAAAAAAATAAGACAAGTATTTTTCTATGAAGGAAAAAAAAAATGTTTAAAACGGCACTACTTAAATAGACTGGTCCACTCGTAAAAAAAAAAACAGGTAAATAATTTAAGTAGACCTTCCTCAAGGCGCAACACTTATCAAGTTCGAAAAATACTGATTTTTTAAAAAACAAATTTAGAATGGGAGGAGTCATGTTCATAAAATCGATCCTTTTTTGAGTTATTGTTATTGTACCTAGTTGTTTTGCTCATTGTAAATGGACTTTTTTTTTTTTTTTTTTTTTTTTGTGAGAAAACTGTTTCTTTTAAAAATAAAGAATATTTTCCCCATCTTTGTTGTTGTCACAACGTTTCAGGCATTGTTCCCTCCGGCTTTCATTACGTTATGTTGATCCGGGTAACCTCCAGACAGGGAATTCCGAACTAAATCTTTTAGGTAGATTGTTCTCGTTTCACTGTTCATCTCGTCCAGTTCTTATTTTTAGTATTACTTTCCCTGTTTCCACCGAGTCCAAGTACACACTACTAGGCCAAGGAATTGAACTCTTTTAATTACTATGTTACCAAATTCATAAGCTAGCACTAGTCTCCACTTGGCTCTGTGGAGAACTTCCAGCTTATCATGCTTGAAGCTTCTCTTTAGTTAACTGCTGCAATTAAGATCCGTTATTGTCTTTCTTTTTTTATTAGCTGCCTCTATATCGTATTTATTTCCTCATAGCCTAGCATATGAGTTGATTCTTTCAGGCATCTAACTCTCCAGTGTTTTTCCAGTTTCACTTTATTCCACAGGGGCAGATGACTACCCTTTTCCCTCTATACATGATCAGTGATGCCTAATTTCATTGTCAAGCCCTCACTACAGCTTTTCAATGTTTCTCAAGCCTTATTTTTAGGGTGTGTCTAGTTTCACCCCTATACCATTTGCTGCAACTGCAATAATAATTGGAGTACACAATCTCAGAATGCACAACAGAATTAACAGGACAGAAGGTATAAAATCAAAGAAGGAAACACTGATAATTGAAAAAATAAAAATTCTCCAAATATGGAGTAACTACATTAGAGAACTATTTCATGATGAGAGTGAAAATCTGAAGCATGATCAGTACTGGACAAGATGAACAGAAACAAAACAGCAGGATCAGATGGGATCATAGAAATGCTATCAACCTTGGAAAATTTTGACATTAACACGATCACAGAGGTGATAAATGAAATACACAACAGTGGTAACATACTGGAAGGCATTAGTATATCCATCTTTATAGTACTGCCTAAGAAGACAAGTGCAAACGAATGCAAGCTCATCAGATAATCACCTTAAAGAACTGCATAACCAAACTAATCAAATTTTGATGAATAGACTGTTAATTTCATCATTTCAATTTTCATCTCCAAACAATAAAAATAAATAAATTACTTTTGTGTTTATTTTGTTTCATGTTATATTTGGTTATAGATTTCATAATTCCCATATGGTTTTTGTTTCATTAAAACAATTTTAAGGTGGATAATTAAAAAAGAAGATTAAAATACATAACATTTCATACATACATGTTAATGACGTGGAAGGCTAGGGATATGAAGTTATTTAGTAATTGTCATAAAATGTATGAAAAGAAAAACATATACTAAGATGAAGATGAGCAATTTTACAAGTCAAATTAATTATGCTGTTAAGCTCTACTTTTTATTTAAACTTCTTAAGCTGGCAACAACTGTGAACTACACAAATCAAAGCTAAAAATAGTTGAAGCCAGTCGAACGGGATTTGAAATAGGCCTCCAGTTTTGATCTTCAATTGCATTATTACTTGGTCTGAAGTAAAGAATATCATGAATGCAGTCAACATCAGACTTGTTTCTTTTTTATATTTTAATTTTTTTTACTAGTAAATAGAATGACTTTCAGGCCCATTAAATCCATATTTTATCACAGCAATTAGCTTGTCAGATTTGATTTAAAATTTTTATCAGATGAGAAATGGTTATGCTAAAAGCAGAGAATAACTAATAAATGATATAATAAATAAAAAGGAACACACCCTTATATGAGGAAGGTGATTGGTTTATTGGTTGTGTTATGGCATTTTAGTATTCATTTATGCCATTCTGCTTAGGTAAGATGTCAGAAGTAGATAATTTACATTGTTTTGTGTATATAGAAAGATATCAATTATAATTTTTAAGTAAATGGTGACAGCAGTTGCAATAAGAACTGAATTCACTTCTGGATTAAATAAGTTTCAGAACTGATTGTGCACTCCAAATAATTTTCAACTTGGGTTAGAAGAAACCGAAATTGGCAAAAAAGGTTCACATTGGATCTATTTATTTTGTTTATGTATGGGATTTTTAAATTTTTATCTCTTACTTTCTGTTTTTTAATTATCAGAAACAGTTTCTTTTATGGAAAGTTCAATGACAATTGTACTGCTATCTGCAGAATTTAATCAAAATCTACATTTGCCAAGTTTTCCTTTCTTTAACTGATTGAATTTTTGAAGTCTTGATTTGACTGTCTTTACAAATTTAACAAAACATTCCCATACTCGATTTTAGGAACTAAGAGTGGACTGAACTCAACTGAGTAATGGACACATTACAACAGTGGCGACAAGATGAGATTGTGGAAATTAGAAAAAAAATAACTTTTTCTACTTTTCCAATGTCAGACACGGGTTTTGGAAGTGTTCTTAAGCTACAGAGAAGTCAAACAGATTCTATTTCAAATTTAATTATGCCCCAGAGTGATAGATAACCTCATGTTTAAGGCATATGTTCAATGTTTTGAGGATTTCTTTGCAAAAGAATGTGCAGGATGGACTGATCGAAAAAAAAAAAAGTGTGACTGCTACTGAGGAGGCTGGGAACAAAAGAACAGAAAGAGTTCTATTTTATATTAAAAAAAAAAACAAGTGACATGGACGTTAATAAAACAGTAAAAGTTTTGTTGACAATTTTTGGCAACAAAGTCTGTTTTCCAAACCCAATATCAAGTTTTCAACTTGAAGAAAAAAGGAAGATGATTTTTCCACATATGTGGGAATAGTGAAGAGAGAATGTGAAAAGAGTAAATTAAAAGATTTAATGGAAGACCAGTTCAAATGTTTAATACTCATGCTGGGTCTGAAGTCACACAAAGATAATGAAATAAAGACAAGAATGTTAGCAAAACTTGAACAGGACCCAGGGATAAATTTATAGACAATAGCTGAGGAGTGTCAAAGGTTAATAAATTTAAAACTGTCAGACTGAAGAAACAGGAAGAAATGAAAATGGAGGTTGAAGAAATAAAAAAAATATGTCAAAAAATAATACTGCACCAAAAGTAAGTTTCACTACCCAAAAAATAAAAAATACTTTGAATAGAAAATTTATTCATTTCTGCATGAACAGCAAAACTGTGACCCTACAATTAGATATGGGTTGTGATATTACTGTAATTTCAGAAGAAACTGGGTAAAAAATAGGTGCACCGAAATTGAAAAAAAGTTACCTTGATGTGCATAGTGCCTAAGATGAGAAACTAAAAATAGTAGATGAATTGCAAAGTCTTGTTTTGAAACAAAAATGCTAATGCAAAAAGGAAAACGGTTAAATT